CCCCAACCCAAACCCCAGCCCTCACCCCCCCGCCCCCAACCCCTAAACCCCGCACCCCGCACCCCAAACCCTAAACCCTAAACCCTAAACCCTAAACCCTAAGCCCTGTTTGTACGTTTCTTTCGCGCTTGAGCTCGGCCTCCGTGTGTCTCAGCCAGGAAATGAAAGTTCTTCGCAAATCGCCGACCATTCCTTCGAAGTCTTCGAGAGAACAAAAAGAGTTTTCTTCTGCAGATTCAGGTGTACATGCAGCTTCGGGTGTACGTACACCGCGCGCGGCGGGGGGCAGCGACACCGGCAGCGGCGCGGCTGCGCACACCCACAGGCGGCGCCGTTCGGCCATTTTTTGCGCGTTTTCGGCGCTTTTAATTCATTTTTATTCTTTATTTATTTAATTATTTCTTTTTTTGTTTTTATTTTTCTCTTTTGACGCTTTTTGAGCCCCTTTTCGCCGCCGGGGGCGGCAGCGGCGGCCCGCGAGCTGCAGATACACCCCAGCTGGCCGCGCAGCAGCACGGCGAAAAAGCTCTTTTTGCATTTTCTTTTAACTCCAATTAAACCATTTAACGCAATTTAATTCAATTTAAATCATTTATTGTTCCATTTACTCCATTTGAGGGTTTGTTGCCCCCAAAGCAGCAAAAAAAACATCCAAAATCCAACAAATAAAACCCCAAACACCCACCTGCAGCCAACTTCGAACTGGACCCAAACAGGGGGCCCCCCAAACCCGGGGGGCCCCCAAACCCGGGGGGCCCCCCCCCCCCGGGGGGGCCCCCCAAGCCCGGGGGGCCCCCAGTACCCCTCGAAAGGAAATTAGATAAATCCGACTGTCTCCCAGGGGCCTCCTTGAGGCCCAAAGAAGAGTCCCCCGAGGCCTCTGCTGCATCTCCGTTGTAGAGGTGCAGCGGGGGGCCCCTCGGGGGGCCCCCCGCAGGGTACGAGGGTACCCCGTAGCTCAGGGGGCCCCCAGGGGGGCCCCTCTCCGGGGGGCCCCCCCCGGGGGCCCCCCCGTGGCTGCTGGCGCTGCTGTGGCTCGAGTGGAGGGCCCCCAAGCCGGGCCCCAGAGGGCCCCCGCTCGAGGAAGTATAAGACTCCATTTTTAACTCCAAAAAGGAACTTTTTAATGAACTTTTTAATGAACTTTTGAAGAAACTTCAAGAGTTCTGGAGCTGCTGCCACAAACGAAGGGGGCCCCCGGGGGCCCCCAGCTCACCGCCCCTGAAGCAGAACAAGCGGCGCAGCTTGGGGGCCCCTGGGGCCCTCAGGCGGAGGCTGGAGCTGCGAGCCGCAGCGCCTCGGGGTTAGGGTTTAGGGTTTAGGGTTTAGGGTTTGCGGGCTGGGGTTTGGGGCCCCGGTCCGCTTGGAAACCCCCACTACGCGCTCGCGGCCTCCGCGGGCAGATGGGGGTTCATTGGGGGGAATTTGAGGTGTATGTACACCGCAGGTTGCAGGCAGCTCTGTGTCTGGACACCCCAGGCTAACCTCCGCGTCTCAGCCGCCTATAATGAGTCCCTATAAAGAGGAATTTATTATATTTAAGAATAAAATGTGGAAAAAAGACTTCGGAGGCGCTGGGGGGAGAAAGAAACTGCAGCTTTCCCTCTATTCGGCGCGAGAGCATGCGCTGGGTCGGCGGGCGAAGCCGCCTGCTTTCTGGGGGCCGCGGAGGCTCCAAAGGCAGCTAATGAGCTGAAAATTATGAAATAAATGAAAATATAATCTTAGAATTATTATAATTCGCGCTGAGAGCTCTAAAATTCACGTTTTTGCACTCGCGCGCTGGGGTGTATAGACACCTCACGACAGACCACGCCCAGAAAGCTGAAGGCGGATTCATCAGTTTCTTTCCGTTCAAATTGAATGGACTTGTTGGAACTTGAATTAAATCTTAATTTTTATATTTTTATTTTGTTATTCGCCATTCTATTTGTTTAAAAGCGACGGACAGAGGCGCCAACAAGCCGTCAGCCAACTCTTCCTCATGTCTTGTTGTTTTCCGCCTTTGGAAACTTCCCGTTTTCTCGAGCCCCAGCCATGCATTGAAACAAAATAAAGTTCTTTTCTTTTATTTATTTATATTTTCGTTTTATTTACTTCTTTTAGCCCTCAGAAGAACTTCGTTTTAAAAGCTTCTGCAACTGAGCGGCGTTCTATGGTTGACCCGCGCTCGGTGTACATACACTCCAAACGTCATCTTCGTTTCTTTCTTTTTCAGCAAAACTAAAATGCAATTTCTAAAAGACAAAATAAATAATAACTCCGCCTCTAAGAGCTCCATCCAGCCAAAGGGAACAAAAGCACTTTTTCTTTTAAAGATGACTTCAAAGAACAGACTCAGAACTCAACAGGTAGCTGGAGGACAGCCCACAGTGGCTAGCCACAGCTAGCCACGGCTAGCCGCAGCTAGCCACGGCTAGCCGTAACTAGCCGAAGCTACCCACAGATAGTCACAGATAGTCACAGCTAACAGCAGTTAGCCTCAGCTGACAGCAGCTAGCCACAGCTAGCAGCAGCTAGCTGCAGCCAACAGCAGCTAGCCACAGCCAGCAGCAGCTAGCCATAGCTAGCAGTCTTGTTTAAAGAAAGACCTGGGAGCTGTCTCAAGTCCAGAGCCTCTGCAGCGCCAGCAAGATAAAATGCATTAATTTGTCTATTTGTTTTTACATTTCCTTTTAATTGTATTAATAAATATATATTATTCATTAAATATCTGCAAATCTATAATATATATATTTGTATATGTAATTGCCCCCTGGGGGCTTCGAAAGCCTACAGCCAGTTTGTTAGAGTCTTGTGCAGGTGCTGGCCCTCCCGTGGGTAAGACTTCTATTAGCAGACTCTTAGGAGTGCTGGAGTTAGTTGTAAACCCTAAACCCTAAATGATAAACCCTAAACCCTCAACTCTAGAATATAAATGAAGGCCAACACAAGAACAAGCACCATGGGAATTAGCAGGAATTTGACATATTGAGAAGGGTCCGTACAGCAGCTGCAAAAGCCTAAAGGCTCTAGGGTTCAGCGTTTAGGGTTTAGAGTTTAGGGTTTAGGGTTTAGGGTTTAGGGTTTAGGGTTTGTTCCCACAACCTGTGCGCTCAGGCGAGCGCAAGAAAGCAACTGGGGCTGTGCTGCCTCAAGGCGAAGTTGGAGGCGAAACTGTTTTTCGCTTTTGTTTTGAGATTGAGGTGAAGTTTGCTGAAGGGAGAAAACAAAAAAAAAGTTTTTTCTTCTTTTTCTCCCTTTTAAAGTCCCAATAAGTTTGGAGTTTTGATTTTGCTGCGCAGGGCTGCACTCCATCATTCTCCGCAAAGGCCCTCGTTCCGCGTCTCTTTGCTTTTCCCTCGAAGCTGGTCTTCTCTCCAAACATCAGAAAATAATTTATTTATTTGTTTTGCAAAATTCCCAAAAATGTGGAAAAGGGCCCCCAGGGGGCCCCCAGGGGGCCCCCTGGGACAAAAGCCAGTCCTTCTTGCGGTGCAGGTGAAGGCCACTTGCAGAAAGTTGGAGATTTCTTGAAAAAGGAACAAAAATGCTTTTGTTCATTTCATTCTGGAGTTGAAAGTTTTTAAACTTTATTAGAATTGGGTTTTATCTTTTTTCTTCAGGGACAGAAAGTTCAAATAAAGGGAGCCCCAGAGCTCCCCAGTCTTTTGCCTCTGAGTTCTGGGGCTCCAAATGAATAAATTGAATGGAAAAAACAAAAAGTAAAAATAATAAAAATTAATTTATTCAAAAAGATGGAGCCCAGCTGCTTCTACGGGCCACAGTTTTCGCAGTGGGCTGCTGAAAGTCTTTAATTTCTTTTTTGGAAAATTGCAAATATGGACAAGTCCATTTTCCCCTCCGTGGGAGAGTTTGGCTGAAAGAGTGAAAAAGGCTGGCCTCACCGCAGCCTCTCAGAATCCTTTTTAAATTAATTTTTAAAATTAAAAGCTCTCCAGCTTTTAATTTTAAAAAAAAAGCTGAGAAAGACTAAAACGGGTTTTCTGCAGCTCCACTAGAATCTGGTTGAAGATCTTGTGGCCAACCCGTTTTTGAACAAGTCTGCAATAAGATTGAAAATAAATGAAAGGAAATGGAGTAAAATAAAGTGAAAAAAAGAATGTGAATAAGAAGGGAATAGAAAAGATGGAACAAGGTGATTCACAGCGGGCTGAAATAGAGGAAATAAAAGAAAAAAAGTGCAAGTGAACTAAAGCAAGAGCAAACAAAACAAAAAGAAACAAATTAAAACAAATACATGAAGTTGAATTAGATGGAAATACCTCGAACTCGAGCTGAATTCCCCCTTGCCGAAGCCTTCTGCAGCTGGCGGCCAAGTTCTTTGCAGAAACTTTCAATAAATTTTTTTGCATTTTTTTTAAATTTATGAGTCTTAGCTTTCTCTGAAAGCCTTAAACAACAAGGGGCCACTCCTCAAGTCCAAAACTTTTCAACTTTTGGCAAAGTCCTACAGGTGCGTAACTATTGGCAAAAGCCCTGCAGAGTTGCAGGAAGCTGAGGGGAAAAAGTTTTTAAACTTTTATTGCGAGAAATGGTATTTTTTAATTCTTTAATTTCAAACTCTTTCTTGTTTCCAGAGCTCTGTGCTGCTGGGGAAGGCTCATGGGTTCTTCGCAGGTGCGAGGATGAAAAGAAATAAGTAATTTATTCTTTTCACTTTCTAGAAGCTGAGAAGGAGTTTCCGCCTTTTAATGAACAAGTTTAATCTTTTTCACTCAGTTTTTTATTAAACAAGTTCACTCCTTTTAACTTTTTAAAGGACAAGAACAAAAAAGAGTTTCTTGAATTCCTAAAAACAACTTTTGGAATTCAGTGGCTGAGCCCACAAGAGATTTCTTTACTTTGGGGCGCAGGCAGCTCGCGAGCGTCTCATTAGAGAAATTCGAATTCTTTTCCTTTGCAAGTTTCAAATTTTAAATCTTTTATTTATATATTTATCTTTTTTGCAAGTTTCTGCCGCCTCTGTGTTTTCTTTTCTCTCATTTCAAGGCCTTTGGTTAATGGTGTGTAGTTTTGATGGTTCGTGTAGGCTCCTTTTGGATTGCTTTATTGTTCAGAATCTTTCAATAAGAAAATTCAGCTTTTCATCTTTTAATTCAAAAATACTAATTAGTCAAAAAAGGCCATTGTGCTGCATTCGTTTGGAGCCGCCTCTGGCCTGCTTTTAGTGTACAAGAGATCCAAAACTTAAAGCTCGCTGCAGCTTCTTCTGGTAGCTGCGGCTAGCTTGCTGCAGCTAGCTAGCTGCAGCTAGCTGTTTTAGTTGAAGCTATCTGCTGCTAGCTGAAGCTAGCTGCTGCCATCTGTGGCATATGTTGTTAGCTGGAGCTTACTGCGGCCCGCCGCTGCTGCCTATTTGTGGCCATAATGAGCATATTTTTAATCATGGGTAGGAACTTCCTTTAATACCATTCCAGTTTGTATTTCTGTGGCTAGCTGTGGCTAGCTGTGGCTAGCTGTGGCTAGCTGTGGCTAGCTGTGGCTAGTGGTAGGCTAGGTGTATCTATGGGGAGGTGGCATTGATAAGAGGCGCTCATTAATGGTTATTTATCTCTATCTGTGTTTGCAGAGCACTTCTAAAGACGAATTGTTTTGATTTAATTAAAAGTAATTTGTTGAAGTTTGAAGAAATATTTGAATGTTTCTGTTGACGCCCGTGGCTCCCCTCCAGCAAAAAAGCTCCCCAGAAAGGTGCTAGCCTATGCAGGTGGCTGAAGTCTACCTTTTCTGTGTTTTTTATGTTCAAAAGTACTTTTTAATAAACCCTAAACCCTAAAGAAGGTGGAACTTGGCGAAACTTTAGTTCATTGAATTCGCAGACACCGCCGCTGGCGGCCCGCAGTGCGGAATCTTGGCGTCTCAGCCCTCAGGAGCTGCTTTTGTTGCATTTAAAAAGACAAATTAAATTAACTTTTAATTTATTGAATTAGTTTTCGGCTGGAGGCGGGCCAGCGGCGCGTTGGCAGATTCCACACCACATCGGGCAAGGGTGGGCACAGAGTTCGTGCAGATCGGCTCGGCGCGGGAAGCTCTTGGTAATTTTTTTCCCCTTTTTCTCTTTTTAATTTATTAATTTGTTTTAATTGTCCGGAAATGCGAATTAAATTCGAACAAAGTGCACAGACAGCCGCTTTCGTGCAAAGTGCATCTGGGAACGGCACTGCAGGCTGCTGCGCCCGAGCGGCTGATCTGAACTGCCCGGCCGCCGCGAAAGCTGGGGTTTTGCTTTTTTTGAATAATGAATTAAACTGGAAAGCGAAAAGTTTTTCGCAAACAAAGAATAAAGCGTTTCCCTTCAGTGTTCGGGAGCCTCTGATCGAGAAGAACCCACAGGAACCAACCAGTCGATGCATGTGAGGCTGGCGAGCAGCGGAGGAGTTCTTCGCGGCGACCCAGTCTCATTAGAATCTCAACAAAGAAAGCTTTTCCCTTCAACTTGCGTCGGAAACGAAATTAAATTCGAACTCCGAGGATTAGAACCGGAAACGGCGGCTCTGTGGAGCGCCCGTTCGGTGACAGTGGGAAGAATTGCCATCGATTCAGATTCCCTCTGAGTGATTCCGCCCTCCTTCTGCGGGCTCTAGGCGACTTTCTGGCTTTTATTTTTGCTTTCAAGTCCAAATGATTTAGGAGATATGCCTCGTTTCTCGTTTCCTCGGCATTCCGCGGCTTTGTGGCGCTGCTGAGGCGGTCCCAGGCTCTCGCGCAGGAGCCTCTCTTCGGCTCCGATCTCGCGCTTTCCAGCGCGCATTTTCATGTTCTCAGGAAGCTCTCAGTGCAAAGCAGCTGAAGAGCGGCGGAAACCTCCAAAGCGGCGCGTGGACTCCGCGGATTCCCCGGCGTTCAAGTTCCCGGCGCAGCCGCACCGCAGCGGAGCGTCGCCGGCCCTCTGCGTCGCAGGCTGCGGCGTCGAGCTCTTGGAGGCTCGCACTGGCTTTAGAAAGCTTTATTGAAGCCAACAATGGCCGTTTCTGCGCGCAGCAGCAGCAGCGCGGCCGCCGCGGAGTCCGCTGCAGCGCAGCAGCAAGTGGCTGCTGCGGGCGCCGCCTCGGAAAGCGCCGCGGAAACGCCCCCCGACGCCGTTCTTTTTCCCCGCAACAAAGACTTTTTGCAATTTGCTGCTGCGAAAGCCTCGAGATCGCCTCGGAGGCGCCGCGGGGCGCTCGCGCTGCTCGCCGTTCAACTTGCTGCTCTCGCTGCAGTCGCGCTGGTCCTCGCCTGCGCCGCCCGCCTCCGCAGCAGCGGCCAGCGCCTCTCCGGGGGCCCCCGCAGGCTTTCCGAGCTTTCCGACGACGAGGGGGGCCCCCAGGGGGGCCCCCAGGGGGGCCCCCCTTGCGAGCCGGGGCCCAGCCACGTCGGGGTTCCCCGCTTCCCCGGGGCCCCTGAAGAGGGCCCCCAGGCCTCCAACTTGGGCTTTCCAGCGGGGCCTGTTTACGGGTCAGTTCCCTTTTTGTATTATGTTTCCGAAATGGGCGCCGGAACCCAAGAAGAGCCACTGGACCTCAGCATGACGCAGCAGCAGCAGCAGCAGCAGCAGCAGCAGCAGCAGCAGCAGCAGCAGCAGCTGCTGCTCCAAGCCCTCTCCCAGGGCTCCGAAGACCCCCGCACGCGCGTCTTCTTGGTCCCCGAAAGCTTCCCCGTTGTGGTGGGCCCCTGGGGCCCCATGGACCCAGCTTTTCCTGCAGAAGCCCACCTGCGGGGGCCCTGGGGGCCCCTTGCTGCAGCTGCGAGGTCGCAGCAGCAGCAGCAGCAGCAGCAGCAGCTGGGGGGCCCCTCCAGCCACTCTGAGAGGCCCCTCTTGGTCAGGCCAGTACCCGTGCGCCCTCCTGCTGCGGACCCGGGGCCCCTTGACCTCAGCCGCAGCTCTTGGGGGCCCTCCAGGGGCCCCACGGGGGGCCCCACGCCGGGCCCTTCTTGGGCCTCTTCCTCCAGGGGCCCCCTCTCTTGGGGCCCCTCGGAGGGCCCCTCCTGGCCTCCTCCGGGGATAGCCTTGGGGGCCCCTCTGGTGGCCCCTATGGGGGCCCCCATGGGGGCCCCCGGGGGGGCCCCTGCCTTCCCGCAGACCTTCTGGCAAGTGGGGGCCCCCGAGGGCGCTGCAGCAGCAGCCAGCGCTGGGGGGCCCCCCCGGGCCTCGGGGCTTCTTAGAACTACCACCCCTTCAGGGTACCTGGGGGCCCGGGGCCCCCAGGGGCCCCTGGGGGCCCCCGGGGCCCTGAGGTCTTCTGAACCCACTCAGTCTGGGGGCGGGATCTTTGGGATCGCCCCGTCTCCAGTACCCATGGGGGGCCCCCCCCGGGGGGGGCCCCCCCCGGGGGGCCCCCTCGCAGGGGCCTCTTTCGGGGCCCCGGGGCCTCTGCGGACTGCGGGGCCCTCGCCAGCGCTGGGTGCAGCAGGGGCCCCCGCGGGGGCCCCGGGGGCCCCCGCAGGGGCCCCGGGGGCCCCCGCAGGGGCCCCGGGGGCCCCCGGACCCTCGGGGGCCCCCCGGGGTTTGGAAGTTCCCAGAACTCCAGACTTAAGAACTGCCCCGAGCTCTCCAGACTATCTGGGGATCGGCGGGATCGGCGGGATCGGTGGGATCGGTGGGGTCGATCCCAGCGATCCCAGCGGGGATCGGGAAGTTCCGAAGACTCCGGATATCGGCGGGGCCGTGGAGCTGGAGGGCCCGCTGCTGCGGTCGCGCAGCAGCAGCAGCAGCAGCAGCAGCAGCAGCAGCAGCAGCACAGACGCGTGGCCCTCCGTCACAGTCATTTACCCACAAACGACCACTCCGGAGTCTTCTTCTGCTGAGGAGTCGGAGAGGGAGCTGCAGGTGTCCGACGCAGAGTCAGCAGCAGCAGCAGCAGCAGCAGCAGCAGCAGCAGCAGAAGGGCCCGTGGACCTGCGGGGCTTCTGGATGCAGCAGCACCTGCAGCAGCAACAGGTGCAGCAGCACAAGTGGCGGCTGCGGCAGCGGCTGCTGCAGCGGGAGCGGCAGCGGGAGCGGGAGAAGCAGGCGCGGCAGCAGCGGCTGCGGGAGAGGCAGCAGCGGCAGCTGCTGCTGCTGCAGCGGCAGCTGGAGCAGCTGCAGCAGCAGCAGCAGCAGCAGCGCGAAAGAGAGATGATGCTCAGCCACCAGTGGTGGCTCAGCAACTGGCTCGGAGGTCGGGTCCCCACGCGTTCTTCCAGCAGCAGCAGCAGCAGCAGCAGCAGCAGGGAGCAGCAGCGCCCCGCTGCGTCGTCGTCAGCAGCAGCAGCAGCAGCAGCGGCAGCAGCAGCAGCGGCGCCCGCAGCAGCCGCCGCAGCAGCAGCAGCAGCAGCAGGCCCCGCTGCAGCACACCCACCTGCCGGACCCGCAGCCGCAATCATCCCTTCAGCAGCAGCAGCAGCAGCAGCAGCAGCAGCAGCCAAGCAAGACGGCGCAGCAGCCGCGCCGTCTTCCGCTGCTGCAGCAAGAGCAACAGCAGCAGCAGCAGCAGCAGCAGCAGCAGCAGCAGCAGTCCTGTTTGCCTCTCCCCAGTCTGCTCCCACCACTGAACGCAATACAGGCCTTAGGGCCCTCTGGAGGGACCAGACCAGGGGCCCCCAGGGGGCCCCCCTCCAGCCCCCGCAGTCCTTACCTTGGGGGGCCCCCCAGGGCCCCCAGGGCCCCCAGGGGCCCCAGGGGCCCCAGAGGCCCCAGGGGCCCCAGGGCTCCCAACTCCTGCAGGAACTTCTTAGATCGCAGGGGCCCCTGGTCCTCCGGGGCCCCCAGGGCCCCCATGTTAATATGGAGTCCCAGATCCCCCAGATCCTTAGGGGCCCCCAGGGGCCCCAGGGGCCCCCGGTGAGCCCCGTAGGCCTCGTGAGGCCCCAAACGCCGCAGCAACCCCAGGGTCTTGGGGGGCCCCAGGGGCCCCCGGGGCCCCAGGGTCTTGGGGGGCCCCAGGGGCCCCAGGGGCCCCAGGTCCCCCAGGGGATTGTTCGCCCCCAGAGCCTTCATACTCCCCAGGGGCCCCCGGGGCCCCCGGGGCCCCCGGGGCCCCCGGGGCCCCCGGGGCCCCAGGGGCCCCCGGGGCCCCAGGGCCCCGAGGGCCTCCGCAGCCCTGAGGGGCCCCAGGGGGCCCCCGGGCGGGAGGAGGGCAGCAGGGCACTGGTGAGGGTGTCGAGCAGCAGCAGCAGCAGCAGCAGCAGCAGCAGAGGCGCAGCAAGCCGCCCCACAATCCGCAGCTCTTTGCTGCGGAGGTCTTTGCGCCATTGGTCTCCTTATCAAGCCAGGGGTTCACTGCATTGGGTGGGGGCTGCAGAGGGGCCCCCCGGGCAAGGGGGGGCCCCCCAGGACCCGGGGGAGGGCCCCCAGGGGGCCCCCATGGACGAGGGGGGCCCCCAGGACCTCACAAGCCCCAGGCCCCAGGGGAACTCCAGGGGGCCCTCAGGGACTCCCAGAGATGAGGACATGGAGTGATTGGGGGCCCCCTGAGGGGGCCCCTGAGGGGGCCCCTCAGCAGCCCACAGGGGCCCCGGGGGGGCCCCTGTGGGGCCCCACAGAGTCTTAAAAGGGCCCCGCAAGGGCCCCCAAAGAACCAACCACAAAGACCTTACTGGGGCCCCACAGAGGCCCCGAAGGGACACCCGGGGGCCCCACAAGGGGCCCCCCAGCCAATTCATGGGGACCCCGCGGGGGTCCTTAGAAGAGGGGCCCCTCAGGGGCCCCACAGAGGTCCCTGTGGGGCCCCCAGGGGCCCCTCAGGGGCCCCTGGGGGGCCCCCAGGGGCTTGAAGGGGCCCCACAGAGGCCCAGGAGGGGCTCTGTGGGGCCCCACAGGAGAACCGCAAGGAAGCCGCAGGAAGGCAGCAGGGCGGGGCCCGTGTGGGGCCCCCGTGAGGCCCTTGTGGGGCCCCCTGGGGGCCCCAGAGGGGCCCCTGTGGGGCCCTTTGTGGGGGCCCCTGGGGGCCCCTGGGGGCCCCTGGGGGCCCCTGGGGGCCCCTGGGGGCCCGTGGGGGCCCCTGGGGCGGCTGTGTGTTGCGAGGGCGAGCGGTAGTGAGGGTTTGTTAGGCAGCGAAGGCGCATGCAGGGGCTAAAAGGGCCCCTGGGGATTTGTGTATTTGTGAAGTCCTTCGGCTGCTGGTTTTATGTCTTTGAGGCGTTTGGCCTCCGTTTTCGGGGCTTTGTGGAGCAGAAATGATGAAGTATTTGTTCCGGGCTTCAAAATGATGTATCTAATGTGAAATGTGCATTTATAATTCTCGAAAAGCTTCGCTGCATGCGCTGTTTGCATGTGCACGTTTGGGGTGTACGTACACCGCGTGGGGTGTACGTACACCGCGCGGGGTGTACGCAAGGCGGCAGGCGTGTATAGAAAGTGGAAAAGAATTAAAATCAAATTTATATTTTTTGAATTCATCTTTAGACTTCTTTGTTTGTCCGCGCTGCTGCTGCTGCTGCTGCTGCTGCAGCAGCAGCTCGGAGGGTCTTTTTGGAAAGTTTCTGAAAAGCCAAATTAAATATTTAAATAAATGAATTATTAGAATTATTCAAATCTTTAAATGCTTTAAATGATTTAAATGGTTTAAATGATTAAATCATTAAGTCGTTTAAACATTTAAACATTTAAATGATACAAGTGTTTGAATATTTAAATGATTTAAATGATTAAGTGATTTATATCATTTAAACATTTAAACATTTAAATATTTAAATGATACAAATGTTTGAATATTTAAATGATTTAAATGATTTAAATGATTTAAATCATTTATATCATTTAAACATTTAAATATTTAAATGATACAAATGTTTAAATATTTAAATGGTTTAAATGATTTATATCATTTAAGCATTTAAATATTTAAATGATACAAATGCTTAAATACTTAAATGATTCAAACCATTTAAATGATTTAAATCATTTAAACATTTAAACATTTAAATATTTAAATGTTTAAATGTTTAAATGGTTTAAATGGTTTAAATCATTCAAAAAGTCCTCCAAACTCTTTCTGCACTTTTCTGCATGCACTCTTCTATTTGAATTTCCTCTTTTTCTTTTCTGCATTTATTATTTCTGCATTTCTTCTGTCTTATTTTTCTGAACTTTTTTAACTTTATTCTTTTATTTGTTCATTTACTCGGCTTCAAACTCTTCTCCTAAACCCTAAACCCTAAACCCTAAACCCTAAACCCTAAACCCTTCGGGTTCGTGGGGCCCTGCGGCAGCTGGGGTGTCTGTGCAGACACCGCGGCTCTCTCAAGGCCACTGCAGGCCCCAAACCCTAAACCCTAAACCCTAAACCCTAAACCCTAAACCCTAAACAGACCGTGCGCATGCACTTCTGGGCGCAAATAAAAGATAAAAATTCCAGAATAATGCAAATAAACTCCATCAGTTGCAAAAAGTAAATTAATATACTCAAAATGTATATTTAACTTCCATGAAGTTCTCCAATCTCCTGCTGCTGCGGCTGCTGCTCCTTTGCTGCTGCTGCAAGGAAGTATAAAAGTATTTCCCGGGACTTTTCTAATATCTGAAAGTGCACAAATATGTAAATGCATTGCATTAAATGTAATTGTGTTGTAGAATTAATTAATTAATTAATTTATTTATTTAATTATTTATTTATTTATTTATTTATTTATTTGTTTATTATTATTATTTTTGTAATTGGAGCTGTGAAGAGCTGCGGCGCGTGCGGCCTTCTAGGTGTATGTACAGCTGGAAAGTGCTGTTTCCCTTTCCTTCTTTTCATAAATGTTTTCACAACTTCAAATCTGCAAATTATTTATTTCCATTTCATTCTTTCTTTCTTTTATTTCATTTCATTCCTTCTTTCTCTCAAGAAGAGCCGCCAAGAGGTCAGCAGCAGCGCGAGTTCTAAAGCCCCAGAACGCGGAAAAAGGAGGGAGCTGCAGCAGCAGCAGCAGCAGCTGCAGCTGCAGCAGCAGCTGCAGCAGCAGCAGCAGCAGCAGCAGCTGCAGCTGCAGCAGCAGCAGCAAGCGCCTGGGGTTCATTTCCCAAGTGCTTGCCTGCAGGGTAGGCGACGTCGACAGCAAGGCCAGCGGCGAAATAAACCCTTGAAAACCCTAAACCCTAAACCCTAAACCCTGTGCTGCTGAATAATCACCAATCCCAAAACCCTAAACATTAGTCATGGAGCAGCAGCAGGCCGGAATCTGCCTCTTTTGTTGGCTTCGTTCCGCCTGCTGACTCACTAACTGGCTTTTGAAGCTGAATTTGAGGGTTTAGGGTTTAGGGTTTAGGGTTTAGGGTTTAGGGGTTTTAGGGTTTGAGTGGGGCAGGACTGGCAGAGGTGAAAGACAACAACTCACGCTGTGGCCTCTTGTTTTATTCCCTCTGGGGTTTCTTTTCCGTCTTTTGCTTTAGGCGCTGATTTCTGACTAGGGTTTAGGGTTTAGGGTTTAGGGTTTAGGGTTTAGGATCTCAGCTTCAGTCAGACCTTTTGCGGTTTAGGTTTTGGGATCTCAGCTTCAGTCAGACCTTTTATAGTTTAAGGTTTAGGGTCTTGGGAGGGGCTTTTTTGCTTCCCCCTAAACCCTAAACCCTAAACCCTAAACCCTAGAGTTAGACCTTATCCCGTATGTTGTAAACCCTCGTTTAAACCTCATCTTGGGGCTTCCTCTTGTGGGTCCCCTTCAAGGAATTAAAAGGGGCCTTTGGGGGTTGTGAGGTGTACGTACACCTGAGGTGTATGTACACCTCAGGCAGGTGTACGTACACCTGAGGTGTACGTACACCCGGTGGCTGTGGCAGTGGGGGGATGAAACTTAAAAACTGTTGTTGATTACAAGTGGCGCAGGTTTGAGGGTTTTGGCAGGGCTCAAGCTTGCTAGGGTTTAGGGTTTAGGGTTTAGGGTTTAGGGTTTAGGGTTTAGGGTTTAGGTTTTGGGGTATATAGGCTCTGTTAGGGCTTGGGCTAGGGTTTCGAATCTGCGGCGTTCGGGCCCCTGCTTGCGTAGATATAGGGAAAAAGGAGTTTAAAAAGATGAATAAATTGAAATTAATTGTAAAACTAATTTAAAAAGCAAAGATCTGCGTTTAAAAAAGGCGAAGAAGAGAGGAACACACGGCGAACCATCGCGTGGCGATCCGCCGCGCGGAGGTGTATGTACACTGAAAAAGGGTTTTTCAAAAGCGGCTTTTCAGAATATTAACAATAAAACAAATCATTTTAATAATTTTGAAATAGTTTTTTCGACTCGGGCCTCGTGAGGACTGCCGCAGCAGCTGCTGCTGCTCCCATCCGCCTTCAGCCGCTGTTCGGGCTCCTGCGGGCGCTGGGGGTTTCTGCGCAATTTTGGCCCCTTTTTCTCCGTTTTTCCCGCAAATTCTCCTTTAATTTGGCGAATTTAACTCATTTAATTCAATTAAAACTCAACTGCGGCCGCCGCAGCAGCTCCGCCGCGCCGCCTGGCTCTGCAGCGGCGCGCGCCGTTGGTGCCCGGCCCAGTGGTCCTTCGGGTGTACGTACACCTCAACTTCCGCATGCAAACTCTCCCCCTCCAACTTCTTTTCATTTTAATCTTTGCATGCAAACTCTGAGCAGCTCTGCGCCCCACGCCAGCCCCAAGAGGCCCTCCGCACACAAGAGACCCCGCCCTGCACGGTTTAGGGTTTAGGGTTTAGGGTTTAGGGTTTAGGGTTTGGCGGCTGCATCCACGACCCGGGAGGCCCCCCCTATACAATGCCCGCCAGAAGGCTCTTGTCGTGAGCGCACACTTCGCAGCAGCAGCGGCGGCAGCAGCAGCAGTTGCAGCAGCAGCAGAAGCAGCCGCAGCAGCAGCAGCAACAGCAGCAGCAGCAGCAGCAGCAGGGAGAGCGGCAGCAGCAGGAACAGCAGCAGCGCAGAAGACAGCTCAGCAGCAACAGCAGAAGCAACGCCGGCGCCCGCGCCCCACTCGCCGCAGCAGCAGCAGCAGCAGCAGCAAGACAGCAGCAGCAGCAGCAGCAAGACAGCAGCAGCAGCAGCAGCAGCAGCAGCAGCAGCAGCAGCAAGACATTCCCAGTAGCAGCAATCCGCGGGTCCT